ATGGTTTATTTTCCTGTCGAGCGAGCGTCGCGGCGCTACGTCGTCGGCGCCCGAATAGTTTATGCGCGCGCGCGCGCGCGCGCCAGCCGGTTTCTTTTTTCGTTTTCTTTTGCCTTTCCCTGCGCGCGCGTTTTCCTTCTTCTGAGGGAAGAAAAAGAAAAAAAAGAAGAAACAAAGCGCAGGACACTGAAAACACACACGGTCCTTGAAAAGTTGCGCGTGAGAAAGGAAACAACGAAGTTGTATCTTTCGTAGCTAATTGCGCGAGTTTTCCTTGGCGGGGTTGTAATGTGATGCAGCACTTATAAGTGCGTGAAGAGAAATTGTTTTTACAAAAATCCGTGATATATCGCGACGTAACAGAGACATTGTGTGCAGATAACGTAAAGTTTTGTACACACACACACACACACACACACGCAGGCCGCATGAAATGAGATTGCGGTTTTATTGACTTACCTACAGCGGAAGTCGGCAAAATTCGAAGAGAAATGGCAATTACAAATGTGCGAAAGAAAAAATCACTTAAAGAAATCCGTGATATATCGCGGATGCAATTGTATACGCGAGAGACATTGTGTGCAGATAAAGTGAAGTTAAAAGAGCGAAGTCTCGTGCACGCACACGTGTAATTCCGTACGAAACGAGATTTTATACTGATTACACCTGTGCAACGGAAGTCAGCAAAATTCAAAGAGAAATGACAATTACAAATGCGCGAAAGAAAAAATGTTATTTTCAAGAAATCCCCGTGACGTATCGCGATGTAATTGTACGAGAGACGACATTGTGTGCGGATGTAACAACACGAAGAGAGAGGTTTACGCGGCTCACATATATGCGGGTTGTAAAACGAGATTGCGGTTTTACCGACAACGGAAGTCAGTAAAATTCAAAGAGAGAAAAAGATATATATATATATATATATATATATATATATATATATACATATATGCAAAAAAGACGAAAGAATACGCTTGTTGGAAAACCATATGCCGCGTGACTATCGAATTTATCATTTGAAATTTATTGCGTCGTCACTGACTCGCGTATCTCACTGACACAATTATCTCCGTTAAGCCTATTTGCCAACTAGTGATAAATGATGGGAATCGATGAATATTGACGCGGTGTGCAATTTCTAATTCCGTTTATTTTATTTTATTTTTTTTTACTGCGTTTTGCCGACAAGACGCAATCGATGATTCGATAATTGCATCCCGAGACGCGCGTGTGTTCTCTTTCTCGCAAATCTCGCGTGCAAATGGAAAAACCGTACGTTTACAATTCGCGTACTCACATTGTACACACGTTTGTCTCTGTGCGACAAACCCCGCTTGGGGTTTGCTATTGTTTCTTTGAATTTAATCGCGTTTTCGTGCGTTTTGTGGAACTCGTTTTCACTCCCTCGCCGCAACAACGACGCGAGCAATAATTAACGTTCTCGCCGATACCGGAGATATCGCGCGTTGATCAAACGCGCCAACGATATAGACGATTCAATTTTCTCGCTGATTTTTTCCTCCAACGCGCCCACGTTGGGCGCTCGATAATGGCCGGGGCTACCGTTGATTTATCCGGGGAATCTCTTCTTCCTCGCTCGCTCCCGCTCGAAAGTGCGATGGACCACCGTGTGAGCGTGAAACTATAACCCAATAACCGCCATCAAGCGGCTCTCAATCACGGTTGAGAGAGAGAGAGAGAGAGAGAGAGAGAGAGAGAGAGAGAGAGAGAGAGAGAGAGAGAACGCACGAGATCTCCGGAGAGCTCNGAGAGAGAGAGAGAGAGAGAGAGAGAGAGAGAGAGAGAGAGAGAGAGAGAGATGGAGAACGCACGAGATCTCCGGAGAGCTCCAATTTCGGTGCTTGCGGTTGCGGGGAAAATGTTCGGCAATTCGAAACTGTAACTCAATCACTCACGCCACGGCTTTCAATCGGAAATCTAGTACAGTAGAATTTCGTGTGTTTCGGTTCAATTGCAGATACCAGCCGAGATAGATAGAGAGAAAGAGAGACAGAGAGAGAGAGAGAGAGAGAGAGAGCTTCCCCTTACTTCTCCAAGGGTCGAGAGCGATCGCACAGAGAGAGAATCGCGAGAGTGAAACAGAAATCATTTCCGACAGATTTCATTCTCGTGAGCGCGGGATTTGTTGGAAATTGCGCGCTTTTGCACGAAAAAAAAAAAATCACGGCAATAACACGGAACAATGATAATCGAACGTTACACACAGCGGAGAAAGGGGGCAGGGGGTCATTGTCGATTACTCGACCTCGCAAACACGTGGCGTGTTATAATCGAGGATATAATTAGTAACGGAAAAGCTCTGACGCGCACGCTGCTTGGAAAGGAGAAAAGAAGATTCTCTATTTTCTTCGAACGCAACATGAGAAAAGAAACTGTTGTGCGGAGACTCGAGTCGCGGAGACTTGTTCCGACGTTTTATTTCCGCGCTCTGTTCGAAAATACCGCGCGGTATCGAGCAACCACGGTTCGCGGACTCGGTTTTATCGCTATCTCACCCCTTCGTCTCGCGAACAACCCTCTGAGTGAGTTCGCGACTTTCTTCCGTTATTCTTTTCTCCGTTGTTTTCGTTGCGTCATCCTTGCACTTAAGTAAAGTTCCATCATCAATATACTACAGAGTTTCATCGGCTACATCAGGTCCTTAAGCCGCCGTGTCCCCACGTGTGAGGCGACAACAAATAACAAGAAACTTCGCGCAAACGCGTTTAACGAGCTTTCGTCTCTCGCTGGCAACGTCGAGATATCTTTCGGTACCGATTTTTTTTTTTTTTTTTCCAAGATACACATCGTCAAAAAGTTCGTCGCCTCGGTGGGGACGCGGCTTTAAACTCGGACTAAACGGATTTCCCGCGATATATATTCGATGCGATACTCGATCAGTCGTCGGCCGCGCGTATCTCGTATTATCGTTCTTCTTCTTCTTCTTCCGATAACGAGCGGGCTTATCGTTTCGCGTAATCGATTCGCGGAAATCGCGAGACTAATCTCGCCAAGAAAATCATCCGCGGAGCATATAGCGCGCGGGGGATATATTTCTCACGATTCGCACGCGCGAGCGCGCGAATCGGAAAACTTTCTAACGCCGCAAAACGGTTCAGGCTTAACCCCGACCTTGAGTCTACTGAATTAGCGATAAAAATGGTGATGCATATGCATTCCGTTTGTTCGTGACGTCGGCTCTTTTGCGACGTCGAGTCGTATCTCGAGATAAATTCCCGGAACGTGCGCGCACAGAGCGCGAAGCACATTTTGCGTGGTACCATTTCGCGCGCGCGTAAATGCACGCAAAAGCGCTGGATCGCGAGGCGTTAAAGCCAAATCGCTGAAGCACGAAGGAAGGAAAATAAAAAAAAATGCGGCGATTAGAAAAGCTTCTCTCTCTCTCTCTCTCTCTCTCTCTTTCTTACTCTCTCGGTAGTTAAAGTCTGTATGTACTTACTCGAGCGTTTTTGCGCGAAGACCAAAGGTTGCGAATGCCTTTCATCAGCGATTAAACGCAGAATGTCGGAATAATGTCGCGCCGCGTGTGTGCGTGCGTTTCAGAAAAATCGCATAATTGATAGATGGCTGTCGATAGAGAATTCCAGTTTGTTGCGCGCGGCCGTGTCTCTCTGAGCGGCCTCTATAATGTGATAATGCAATAAACAGAGTCTCTCTTCTCGGTTCCGCTTTGTTTTCTGCCTTTTAAATCGTTAGAAAAAAAAAAAAGATAATCACGCGCTCAGTCTCTTTACACATTTTTAGACCAAGATTTCTAAAGAGAGAATATATGTATACACATAGTTGTGATATGAATAACCAAAATTGTTTATTTATCGAAAATGTTTAAATATTTTTACTGTAAATATATTATTTTGTAATATATTGTATTACAATATTTAACGTGTTTGGTAATATATTGTATTACAATATATTATTTTGTAATATATTGTATTACAATATTTAAATATTACAACATTTATATATTTATATATTTACGTACATAATATTTGTTATAAAATATTATAATATTTAATGCGTTAAATGATTTTTTTATAATATACTATTTTTTTATCCTATCATTTTGAAAGAATATAAAATGCACACTACACCAAAACAACTGCTGTTGTTTAGTATCAGATGTGTCTCAGTACCCGCGGCACGACAACAACAGTCATTGTACCATCGAGGAGAGTAACGAGCGGACACGCGTTACTGTCTCTCGAAAAGCGGAAGGAATTGTCTCCGGGCGATTCTCTCGCCTTGCCGCTCGTAAAAATGTCTCTAAAGTCTTTTTCTTTCCTATCTTCTCTTTCTCTCCCTCTCTCTCTCTCTCTCTCTTTCTCTTTCTCCGGTCGATTCGCGTACGCGACATTAAATCGTCTCTCCGATTGCGGTAAAGGTACGCGATCGGACCGCACGGGAGATAGGCAGAAACAAAAGACAAGAGAATTCAGACGTCGTTTCGGGCGTTTCGCCAGCAAGAGCAAGCAAGGGCGGTTCTATTCTACGTACGGGGGTGGACGACCCCTTTTGTTCGGCTCTCTCTCGCCCTTTCCTTTTTCTTTTCGCAGTCGGTTTTCCCTTCGGGGCGTCCCGGACTGATACGCGCCGGCGGCTCGTCCTTCGCTCCCTTCTCAACATCTACACCCCCGTGACTAACGCGCGCGTGTACGTCGAGTCGCGAAACTGAAGACCACGCGGGGGGTGCGAAACGAAATTCGATAGCCTGCCAAACCCCAGCGCGGGATGTGATCGTTAAACGTCCTCCCTCTGCGACCATCAAACAAGAAGGGAAGCCCTCTCTCCCCCCCCCCGGACTTATATCGCGCCGCGATTCTTATCCGGAAGCTCGATCGTTGTCTATTTGACAAATTGAATTCGGATTGAAGCGATAGCTCGAACATCCTCGTTACACGAGGAGGGAGAGACGCCTCCGAGTGATGAATGTTCTTTCTCTTTCTAAGTTAACTTTCCCCTTTCTCCTGTTTGCGCAGTCAACGCGGGAGGCTTGGACTTCATCATCGAGCCGCAGGATGTGGTGGTGGAACAGGGCGGTCCTGCGAGGCTGGACTGCAAGGCGAGGAGCGTCTTCGGAACGCCGACCATACAGTGGCGTACGGACGACGGCCCGCCGATCTCATTTATCGGGGACACTTATCGGTAAAACGCACCCCCAATGCGCCTCTACAAGAGATATTATACTTCCTCTTCCTTTCCGCAACGTCCTTGTCACCGTTTTCCGAAGAGAAACTCGTCTGATTTTGATTCGTTTTTTCTTTTTTTTTGTAGATCACAGCTAGCAAACGGATCCTTGTACATAAATAGCATTTACGCCGGCAGCGCGGAATTGACCGGAAGTTATCAGTGCTTAGCTTCCATAGATAATGTCGGAGCGATTGTATCCCGTACGGCCACGATCAAGCTAGCAAGTTAGTATCTCAGAGCTCGAAGATGTCTCGAGAAAATTCGATTATTGTTCCCGGTCATCGTTCGAAGCAAGTTCGAGAGTTTTGTGTAGTGAAGTAGTTTTATTTTTTACACGCGTACAATACACACACACGCACAAATGCGATTTGTTTTATGTGCTTCGGCGAAGGTCTGCCCGGTTTCGAGAGGGAGCCTCAGGATACTATGGTTTACGCGGGACAAATCGCGTACTTGAGCTGCGCATTGCCCGCTTCGTCGAGTTTACTGAAGATACAGTGGCTAAAGGACGAACATCCTTTGCAGCTCGATAAAACTCGAATGACAATCCTGCCGTCAGGTAAAAAAAAAAAGAAAAGAAAAAAACGACCGAGGCCGTTCGCGAGGCCTCTTGTTATTCGCTGGCAGCAAATTAACTCCCGATCGCTGCGCAATTTGTCTCGTTCTCTTATTTTTGTCTTGTTGCCGCAGGTGCGTTGGAAATAAATGACGTTCAGTATCGCGACGTTGGATCGTACAGATGTAACGCCAGCGGCTACGGCCAATATAGACTGAGCAACAAAGCGCAATTAGGATTATTATCTAGTGACATTGGTGAGTCACATTATTGAACATCATCGCGGACTGCGAATCTTTGTTTCTTGCTTGCCACCTTCTCAGTTTTTTGCGATCGAAAACTTTTCCTCAGCTCTTTGTTCTGAGAAAATATATATATCTGTCTGGATCGCAGACAATTATTTGCGTTTGTTAAGAGATTATTATTATTTATTATTTTTTTTTTTTTAACAAATAAATACACATCAAAGCGTTTACTCGAATCTTCTGTTTTTCCGTCACTTGGCCGTGCAGATGAGGGTACCAGCGCTCCGGTATTTATCGCGCAGCCTCTACAACAGGTAGCCGTCGAGGGATCTGACGTGACTCTCGAATGCGCTGCCAATGGTTACCCGAAACCGACAATTCTCTGGCTCAAAGACGGCGTCGCTCTCGATTTAACGTCATTCGATTCTAGGTGCGGTAAACAACTCGCAACCGATATCGAAACGGGAACAACTCCCCGCAGCCAAGTGTGTGTGTTTTTTTTTTATTTTGTTTCTTTTTTCTTTTTTCTTCCCAAGGTATCGCAAAGTTGCAGCGTCTAGTCTCATGATCACAGACGTAAGAGAATCGGATCACGGTTCGTATCAGTGTCGCGCGGAAAACGAGGTGGAGTCTTTGGACGCGGTCGCCGAAATGATTGTGCAAGGTATATGTAGTTTTTGTTTAACTGCGTGACTTGAAAAAAATTTTTTATCATTTCGCGAACGTTCGCGAATTTCAATCGCTCGTTTCTTTCGCCCGTTTCCAGTCCCGCCGAAATTTCTGAAGAAACCGGAGGATAAATTCGCGAGCGAGAATCAGGATCTGGAATTCGAATGCGAGATCTACGGGAAACCGGCGCCAAAAATCATGTGGCTGAAGAACGGCGAGCGCATCACGCTGAGCGCGTACTGGCAAATCGTGAACGGGTACGTATATCCTCTTCTTTTGAAAAAGCGCCGTTTGATTCTTAATTAAATAATGTTTGAAGATGTTGTCTCGTAGATGAGAAAAAAAAATAACTATTTGGTAAAATTTTTCGCGTTTTTTATAGAAACAATTTGAGAATCAACGGACTGTTGCCTATAGACGCGGGAATTTTTCAGTGCATAGGAATGAATCCTGCTGGTAGCGTTCAAGCATCGGCACGTCTCACGATTAACCAGCCCAGTGAGTTTTACGATAAAATGTAGTCTCTTTGCGACACAACACATACGTGTGTAATTTTTCATTTTGTTTGACATTCATCGATTAATCGATGAGGTTCTGAAAGGTCTTCCGTTGCTATTTTACTTCGCTTATGTCACACGTATTGTACACATATAAATTTACTTGCTTACGTCACGGTCATTTTTATTTTTACTTACATCACGTTTTGCGGTTTCTGTTTGAAATTTTAATTTCAGTTTTATTTATTTTTTCCCCCCTCCTTGTGTTAACTGTCTTCCGTTTGCTAACACGACGCGCTCAGGGAGAAAGAGTTTCCATAGCACAACCACCCCCAAGTCAATTCCTAAAAAAAAGTTGCTGCAACATCGACAATTGTACAATAGAACGTGGCAGCATCCGAGCACACTTCTCGGACACACGTCGTCGCAACTCACAACAGACTCACCGCTTCCTATAAGCGCCTCGGACGATCCCGCGGATTTTTTCCCGATCTTGATTAGCGGTTCCAAGTCCTCTTACACTCCAGACCCTCCTTTTGTAGATGATACAGAGAGTCTGGAGGCGTTCGACGGAGGTGGCGTGCCCTCGCCGCCGAGAAACCTGAGCCTCGTCATCGTTACCGCGCGATTCGTCACGCTACGCTGGCAGGAGCCAGAGAACATGAACAGCGACGTGCTAAATTATTCCATACATTACAAACAGGAAGGGGCCATGAGGTGATTATTTTGTTGCGCAAAACGGAACAATATATGCGATATGTGATATATTTGTAATGATCAATTGCGAACACATTTATTTTGCTCAGGGAAAGAGTAATCAACACGCAACAGAAACTGGAGGCTATGATTCGCGGTTTGCAGCCCAGTATGACGTATCAGTTCCATGTAGTTGCGCAAAACGCCCGGGGGTTCAGCGCCCCGAGCGAGGTGTTGCAAGTTACAACGTTAATAGAGGTAGAACGGCACGCCAATGATCCTTGTCGTTTCCTTATTTCTTTATTTCACGACACGTTTTCTCGTGTAAATCGCAGGCAAACGTTCCGGGACCGCCGATGAATCTGGAAGGTCACGCGACAAGCAGCATGAGCATCACCTTGTCGTGGGAAGAACCGCAAACCGTTAACGGCCGGATATCTAAATATATTGTCACATTTGAGGTACGTTTATATTGATTGTTTTTTTTTTTTATTTAGTATATAGTTGATATATTCGAGATGATGACGTCGCGGTGTTATATTTTTACTAGCGACTCAACGTTGTGTGTTTCTTTTTTTATTTATTTATTTATTTATTTTTTATTTTTTTTTATTATCGTGTTTCGTTCACAGAGCAACGGTGTAGAGGAAACGCGTGAAGTTACTCCAACAAATACTATCAGTACGACGTACGAATTGGTGGACCTCGTGCCTTATACGGAATACAGTATTAGAGTTCAGGCGGTCAACGAAAATGGCCCGGGCGCGTTTAACAAAGATATCGTAATTCGCACCCACAGCGCACAACCCACGCAGCCACCGCATAACGTTACATTAGAAGCGGCTAGTTCAACGGTACGTATATATCCTCGAATATAACAAAGCAGAATAAGCAGAGAGACCCTCGGAATTGTTTTGTGGTCAAATATGTGTTTTTTTTTTCAGAGTATTATTGTGAGATGGGAACCTCCGCTCGAGGGCCAGAACGGGATTATTCTGGGTTACAGAATCCGTTATCGTAGATTTCCTCACGATCCTAGATCCGGGGACCGACGAACCCCGGTCACGATAACGACCGAGGGGAATCAACGTTTGTACGTGCTCAACGGGCTCGAGAAGCATGTTGTGTATCAAGTTCGCATATGTGCCTTTAACGTCAATGGAACCGGGCCTTGGTCGGAATGGACCAAGATAGAGACGTACGAGAACGATTTGGACGAGACTAAAGTACCCGGTGCGCCCGTCAATGTGAAAGGTAGGAATACGCGCGAAACATGAAATAACAAAGAAATAACGTCTTACTCAAACGTTTGGTGTTTTTTTTAATTTTTTTCTTTTACGTTACAGCGAATATTGTGGTGGATAGTATAGTGGTGACGTGGCATCCTCCGAAAGATCAGAGTATAAAGGTGAGGAAATACAAATTGGGTTGGGGCAAGTACCTACCCGACGTCGAGATACAAGTTCTCGACGGGAAGCAGCGAAGTTACACCATCAAATCCGTAGGTGAGAGTTCGGATGAGTTCATTTTACTCTCGTTTTAGAAAAAAACAAAAACATCTTAAAACGTTTTTATTTCAATTGCGATCTTCAACTCTCTTCTTGTGTGTTCGTTAATCTTTTACAGAACCGCAAACGGAGTACGTAATAACCTTGAGGGCGATGAACAACGTCGGCGACGGCGAACTGTCGTACGCGAACATAAGAACTCCCGAGCGTTTTGTATCCGAATCTCCAGTGCCTTTGATACCGCCCGTTGGCCTTAAAGCTATCGTGCTCTCGTCTACCACCGTTGTGTTGTACTGGACCGACACGACTTTATCGAAGAGTCAAGTGCGTCACACATGAGTATTATTATTAATCGCGCTGTTACATTACCGTGAATTATATATATATATATATATATATATATGACGCGCGGAAGAGAAAAAGGTCAGAAGTGTCTGTAAATAAACGGGAACGTTTTTTTTCTCTTATTTTTAGTACGTCACCGATAATCGGTACTACGTGGTACGTTACACGTCTTATCACCACAGCAGCAGTCCGAGATACAAGTATTACAACGCCACCGATCTCAACTGCATGATTAACGATTTGAAACCCAACACGCAGTACGAGTTCACAGTGAAACTGGTCAAGGTACGCGAGAGAAACCGCGCGCGCGTGTAATTTAAGGAGAATAAACGAATTGCGGATTAAATTTTCTCTTCGCAGGGTAAACGCAGTTCGTCATGGAGCATGGTCGTTCTGAATCAAACGCTGGAAGCCGCTCCCGCCACGGCGCCGCGCGATCTGATCGTTCAGACTGTCGAGGATCGTCCGACGTCCGTTCTGTTGCGATGGCAACCTCCGAAACAACCCAACGGACAAGTCACAGGTTCGTCGGCCGGTTTTTTCTTCCGATAACTTAGAAGACGTGTTGCTTTTGCGGTAAAAAAAAAAAAAAAAAAAAACGCATCGATATAATTTTCAGGATACCTGATAAGTTATTCCACCGACAACACGAAGGGTGATCGCGACTGGCAGGTCGAAGGCGTTATCGGCGACAAACTGGACGCCATCCTGACCGGTCTGACTCCCAACACGATGTATTACTTCAGGATCAAAGTCCGCAATTCCAAGGGATACGGACCGTTTTCCACGACGATCTCGTTCAAAACGCTCCAAAGTAAATAATAATCGATTTTCGCGTTTACTTATCGATGTGTTGATCGGAACATTCGATTATTATGTGACACATACATATACATATATGTGTAGAGTAATGCTATATGTTAATCCAAATGTACATACAAACGAATGATATCTGTTGTCTGTTTCTGCGCTTTTAAGTTGCGTTCTTCTCTTATCCGATGTGTTTAATTATTATATTCTGTGTTTTAATAATTGTTACACGTTGATTTTTTTATCCCTGTGGTAGGCAATGGCATGGATATCTATGATGAGTTGCATGGTCGAGGTAAGACATCATCGCTCTGTTTCTTTTTTTTTTTTTTTTTTTTTAATTCTAATTACGTGATTGTTTGTCTTCAAGCACGTTTTATCGCATCGAAACTTACAATTTGATGTTCTTAAGTTTTGCTTCAAAACTAGTTTCCACATATATATTTTTAAAGAGAATATGATAAATAATATTTTTTCTCAACTATCACGCTGTTTCGAGCAAGCGACATTTGCGATTTTATCTCTTCTTTCAGACGGCCGAGGTATTTCCAATCTACTGATTTACATCATAGTGGGTCTCACGGTCGTCATTATCACCGGTGTATCGGTAGTGGTCGTGGTCTGCTGCAAACGCAATCCGACTTCACCGGATCGAAAGAAAGGGTAAGTTTCCTGATTGTAATACTTTTAATCGCCAACGCGTCCCCAACGTGTAATTGTGTTATTTCCAGATACTTGAAGGACTCGAATCAGAAGACGAATATCAAGCCGCCGGATTTGTGGATCCATCACGACCAAATGGAACTGAAGGCGCTCGAGAAATCCTCGTTGAACGGCGAAGCTTCCACCAGCGGCGTCACCAGCAACACTTTACCCAGATCGAGTAATCCGGAATATAATCAGGACAACGTACACGGGAATTCCAGTTCGCTGGACAAACGAACTTACGTGCCAAGTTACATGGGTAAGATGGTGCACGCGGTGTCGCGCGGAGATATATGCCACTTGTGCACTGCTACGAATCAAACATCACATAGAAACATTCGAATTTTACGTCGATTTCGTTTTTTAAATAAACTTTTTAAATAAACTCGCGTAATAAAAGATAACACACTCGATAACTACCGTTTAGCACAAACAACAGATTACAACACCACGTTGGTCACATTATTGGTTTTTTTTTTTTTTTTCACTCGATATTTAATATCTCAGTTGGCACAGTGCGCATAAAAGAGAAAGAGAGTCGTTCGTGACAATTTGATTTGCAGTTTTCTTGATTTTTTGTTATTTGGTTGCCTTTTGTTAATTTTCTATCAGGTAACACTGACGAGAAGTGCTCAACCCTGAGCAGGCAGCACAGTCGTGGAAGCCACAAACCTAAACTAATTACACTTCCCGTTGACAGTACACCCTTGCATCAGCGTAAGTAGCAGTAGGGTTGTCAGTGCGCGTCTGAGTATTTGATGTGTGTGTTCAATAAGTTTTTTTTTTTTTTTTAATCAAAAACTCTTTTTTGTCAGAAAAAATTGATTGAAATTCACACACTTGATATACAATGAATCAAACGATACACAATGAGAGCGCACAGTCTTTATCGGCAAATATCGTTCCTATGTAGGTACCAAAGTTTTCGACTTATTGCAGCTATAGCCACGGCTACTCCGATTGTGAACACCAGCATGTCGCAGTCGACCATTCACACCTCGTGCAGCGACACGTCGTCGGTGAGGCAGAACTATCCGCGAACGGTCGCCCAGTACAGCTTGAACCGGGCGCACGTTACGTTGGAACCAACGCCGGAATCGAGTCCGGATTCCTGCAACATGCCAAGCTCGTACGAGCCGCTGCAAAGCCAGGTGAGATCTCGAGTGTGTGTGTGTGTGTGTGTGAATTAATTCGTCGCGAGATTGCGTATTATCGCGCATTGTTATCCTCTAGTTGTCGTACGGCACGAGCGGCCAGTCGTACAGCGGGAGCACGCAGTACGCGCCCGGTCATTACGGCAGCGGTAGTCAGCCGATGAGCAACACCGGAGTGGAGAGCAACAACAGCAAGCGGTTGCAAGGTCATCCGCTTAAGAGTTTCAGCGTGCCGGCACCGCCGCCGCAGAGCGCTCCCTCCACGCCGGCGCAACAAAAACACGGTGGTTAGTTAGCTATTTTGCTGAATCACGCGAACCGACTATTGTATTGAATAAACTGATTACTGTTTTTCTTCCGTAATTAGTGTCACAAGTGACGGTGAGGCCAACGATGTCCGGAAGTCCGTACAAGAAGCCGCAAGGTTCGTCGTCGCAATTGGCGAAGAATCGCTTGGCCTCCGTGTCCAATCCGGCGCACACGTCGGAGGAAGTCGAACGGTTAAAGGTATATAAAACTGATTCTGCGCGACTTGTTACGTTATTTAAATGCGTGTTTCTTTTTTAATTTGAACAAATCGTCGATTGCAACGGTGATTATTTCGCGCGACCACTTTGTCACGCTCTAGCTTAATTGTTTTTATTTTTTTGTTTTTTTTAGCCCTCGTACAGTACCGAAGAACTGAATCAAGAAATGGCCAATCTGGAGGGTCTTATGAAAGATCTGAACGCCATAACAGCATCGGAATTCGAATGCTAAAAATAGGTTCCTAAGCCTTGTGTGCCATCCTAACTGATGGGTAGACTGCAACGTCACATTCTCAATGTTAGTATCCGAGAGGTAAATTAATTAAATGATTAATTTGTTTTTTCACGTCGTTCTAATAATAACGAGAATTTTTTACAATTGCTCCGTCAAAATTATTTACTACGAAAAGTGAAATACATATTAATTGATTAATTAGCGTCGATGAACGACGCAATTAACGACGCGCGATCTCGAATATTTAAGTTGACAAATAAATATCGTTATCGTGTAAACTTTGAATTTGCGGCGCGAAATTTCTCGTCGCCAAAATCATTCCACACGTAATTAATGTTTCCTCTCTTCGGTACTAACGTTGCTGCTTTCGTTGTTTCGAGCGCGCGGAGAGAGCGCTCGAAACGTATCGTAACTTGCCAATGTATTCCGCACAGCGTCACGTTTTTCCGTGGCGTATTTTTGATAAGCGCGAGCGTACCGTGCCGCACGAGACGAAAGGCACTTGCCTATTATTATACAAAAAAAAAAAAAAAAAACGTTTTTACGTGGTGCGATCACACGCGAAACTCTGTGCGCGTGTGCGCACTAAATAATATATACATATACTGATCGGGACGTAAATTTATATACACGCACATGATCGATTGCGGCGTATTTTCTACGATGTGTGAAAATCAATGTACAATAAACATTAGTTGAGTTAAAATCGTGCGAAAAAAAAACATCAATTTTGAACTTGTCTTTCTCCGCAACTTATTCGCATGAAAGTTTCAGGGAAAATGCTTTCCGACGATACTCCTTCGATTCTTTGCTTTTTTCGCGCACAGTGTTGGTCTCGCTTGTATATTAAAGAAACAGAGAAAAACAAAAAAAGACTCTCACTTACGCTTTGTGTGTGTGTGTGGTAAAACGCGAAAGAAGCTCCACCGCGTCTGTTCGCACACGTGTGTAATTCGTGTTTGTATAGAGACACACTCTTCGTCGATGTTTCTAATTGCCGCATATATACGCTTAAAAAACAAAAAAATAAATAAATAAAGCACGCGTGAGAGCCGTTCGATCGAGCCAATTTAAATAGTCCAGAACAGAAGGCGGAGGAAAAAGAATATAAATATACAATATTTGTCCTATTTTTGTATCTATTAAAACAAAAAAAAGTGGTGGGAGTTCGCGCGTTCGTGTGTATATTTTAGACTTTTTATAATTTCGCACTCGGAAGCGCGCGCTCTTTTTGGAAAGAGTTTTTGCAAGGAGAAAGTCTCTTTTTTCTTCTTTTAGTATCTTGGTATTAATAAATTTATTTTTATTGCGTATTACGGTATATATATATATATATATATATCTCGAACACGATGTATATCATGATATCGTGATATATGTGATATAACGACGTATGTATATTGTATAATTTATTTTTAGAAAACGATGTATATTACGAGAACAGCGAAGTTTGATTTTTTTTTTAATCAAAAAGGGAAACTATTTTACAATATTGTATTTTTATGTGAAAAATTGATTTCTTTTACAATACAAGCGATCCGTTTTTAAAGACCGTTTTCATCATTTGTTTTGAACGGCCTTATAGAAGAAAATTAAGAGATCACACATATATATAGTATATATATATTTTTTAAGTTGATTTTTTTTTACTCAACGTTTCACGGCAGCTCGCATTTACCACTTTCCTGTGTGCGCACATCTGTTTGTGTTTTTTGAAGCAAACCACCTACGTAGTATTACGATCTCATTTGGGAATTATTGTTATTTTACTTTAGAATTAAATCGAATATATCGCGGAGTATGTGAGTATTATTATAGTTTGCCTGGAGTATAAATGTAATATAATAACGACGAAGCGAAACGATCGATTTTTCCGTGTAGATCGGCGCCACGCGCGAAACACAAAAAGTTGGTACCTAGGTTTTGCAGGATTTTGCAATATGCTTTCGAGGTGGTGCCGATCTACGTCGCCGTTTTTGTTTTCTAACAAAAAAGTGAATATTTATTTTACAAAAGATTGCGTTGTCGAGAACACGGTCCATTCGCGAAAACAAAGTGTGCAAGTTTTACTCTTCCCTCCCCCCCACCCTCTCCCCGCGAAATCGCTCTCTTGCGCGAGTCGAAGTATTATATATCGTATATAAAACATAAACAAAATACAACAACACGTAGACGAAATATTTTTAGCTGAATATATATACATACTCTGCACTCACGGATTTGTATTTTACTTACACTTGGATACGGAGGGGAAAAAAAAAGCGAAACTCTTGGAGGAACTTTTGTATAAACTTGCAAAACGCAATGCTCAATTTTTACCCGGAATCGTCGAGAATAACATATATACATAATATATATTCCTGTAAGCGCCACACATTTTATAAGAAGCCACTTTACTGCCAATTCATTAATGCATATCTGTCAAAGTACTTATACATATACGTTTCCTTCCAATGCTAAAGACTTCTACGTACTAACGGGACGTTTAACGCGCGTGCGTTTACAAGAGGAGGATCTGGTTTTTCAACACTCCGACTACAACAAATATATATATATATATAATTAAAAAAAAAAAAATCATCATTATTACACATTAATGCGAGATAACACACAATGCTTATTAAAAAAATGAAAAAAAAAAATTTGTATTCGACAGTGTTAATACTTTTGTATTTTCGTAGCGTTCAAAGTGTATTGTACAAAGTCTTGTATATTATAATAAGAGCGCGTTACATACGTATGTGTGACACGTGCGAGTTAGAGCTAAAACTTAAGTAATATGAAATAACAATTTTTTTTTCTCATATTTTTGCTTGAGAGTAAAACGAAGAAACATATATGTGCGTTAAATTAAAGTCCATGTATATTGGGAGTTTCTGAAATTTGTTTTTTTAATACACGTCGCGTCGAGAGCAAAGTTTGCGTCGTACGGAGAGAAAGTTTTTTTTATCGAGTACTGTAATGAAATATTACGAAATCCGAGATGTGGAGTAGGGGAGTCTGAATCATAATCGTATTTATCTCGTCGGGAATAATCGTCGACTCGACGAGTTAATTATCGCATAACGTCGTAATATTTTTGACGTGTATATTACTTGAGTTTTTGAACGACTCGCTTTAGCGACGAATCGCGACGCAGCAAAAACGAAACTTTGGAAGTAACTGAAAAAAAAAAAAAAAAAAAAAACAAAAAAAAAAGTGACGGACGTGATATTTCTTAGTGTGTTAGTGGTGTTGCCAAATTTTTAACAGACTTCTCAGAACATTTGTCCAGTAAAAAAAAAAAAAAAAAAAAAAAAAAACAAAAAAAAAAGTGACGGACGTGATATTTCTTAGTGTGTTAGTGGTGTTGCCAAATTTTTAACAGACTTCTCAGAACATTTGTCCATTGAAAAGTAATCGAGAGAGAAATAAGTATCGCGCACCCCCTTCCCCCCTTGTCGGTGATATAAACACGTAGATGATACCGCCTAAAAACAAAATACAAATTTATACAAAGAATTAAAGAAATTCTTTTTCTCGTCGGCTTTAACTCGGTGAGAGACATCGTATTTCTTAGTTCTCAAGAGAGTGTATTCTGTTTGTTGTCTCAAGTAGATTCTACGTATTCTTTCGTCCCGTAAGTTAGGACTGCGTGTAAAGAGAATTACTGCGTTGTATTTTATATGTCTGAACGTGCAACATACAAATAAATTTATAATTTTTTTTTTTCTTTGTTTCTATATAGAAAATATATCGACACATTTTACGTCATGTTCTTACGTAGATTTTTTTTTTGTTTTTTTGTTTTTCAAGTTTTATCGCAAAGCTCGTTTATCGCGAAGAGAATTTATATGAACCGTTTGCAGCTTGTGTGATGAGGTAATAAATACGTGTGTGCGCAATTGCGTGTGTATGTGCGTGCGTGTGTGTGTGTGTGGGTGTGTGTGTTCGCGACTATTAAACAATCGCAACAAGTAATCGAGAAACAGGCCTATACCGAAAAAGGGCCTGTGAAAATATTTTACCACGAAATATAACTAGCGTAACGTAAGGTACATACATACATATATATATATATATATTTATCTAAATGCATATAAAGAGTTAAACATTTATTTATTTGAGTTCTCTTCACACACGCGCGCGCGCGCTGGTTTCATCGGAATACGAATGTGCGCGCGAGAAAAAAAAAACACGCGCAGAGGCGCCGACGCGCGTTCTCGATCCTCGTTAACACACAATTTTTTTTTACTCTCATTATTATTAAAACTATCAACGAATCGATCATTCGTAAATAATTAATAGCGTAAGGAAGAAATATTAGGGAATTTCAATTGCCCTAATATATTATAGCATTTAT